ATACAGATACAACAGTACCAGATGCAGCAATAACAGATGCAGCAGCAGTAACAGATACAGCGGCACTCAGCGAATAAACAGGAGTTAATGCAACAACAGCAACATATATAGCAACAGCAATACAAAAATACAGCAATAACAAAATAAAATAGTTGCCGGTCAACAAAAGTATATTCATAAAAAAAAAAGATCTCAAATTCCCCAAATTCCTATCAGTGAGACACAGATTTACAATTCCATATTATTTTATAGACGTGAGTTTATCGCGGCTTTTGCCACAAAATATGGCAACTGAATTTGGTGAAAAACGTCAGAGAGAAAAAAGGTTTTGTTTGCGTATAATTGCTGTGGATTTTCCATAGTTTAGGACGCGGGTATAAGCGAATGATTTCGGGAATGAGTGAAAATATTTTATAGACATTTTCTAGTTTAACGAAATGTATATATATATATGTAACTGTATAGCCTTGTATAATAAAGTATACAACATAAAAAAGGGGGGTGGTAGAAGTGTATACTCATACGTATTCAGAGTTAAATAGCAAGCTTCTCTCTGAATGTTTTGTGTTCTCTTCTTTGAGGCGGTGGGTCCCTACAATTGCCTCAGGGGCGGTACCCCCCTTTTATATATATATATATATATATATATATATATATATATATATTAGTATATTTTGGTAGCAGTCTTTCCTGTAGACATATATTATTAAATATGACGGAAAAAGTAAAGGGCTCCATTAAGGAACATATAATCTCTTCCCACAACCAAACCATCGCCAGAGAAATCCTAGTAAACAACACAGAAATCATCGATAGATACAGCGATAGCAGGCGGCTTGACGTTTGCGAGGCACTGCACATCAAGAAGTCAACACCAGCAATCAACAGCCAATTAATGCACAACTATATTCTACCCACCTCAAGACTCCGCTCCAATATAGAAGCATCAAGAAATATGGACCAATAGGCTTTCTACAAACACTTCTATTCAATGCCCATTGTTTCGTGTTCTGTCTTGTGTTGATGAAATTAATACCCTATTAATGCCAACTCTTGTTCTGTCTTGTGTTGATGAAATTAATACCCTATTAATACCACCTCTTGTTCTGTCTTGCGTTGATGAAATTAATACCCTATTAATGCCACCTCACCCCATCCACCTCACTCAAATGTAGATATAAAATCGGAGATGCGTAAGTTCTATTCAGTTGTGTATTTGTAAACTAAAGTCTTTGAAAATGTAATAAGTTTTACGAAACGCGCTCATGTCGCGTCAGACTAGAAATAAAAATGAATTTTGGAGAATTGATTTTTGATTTACCTCCAACAGTGAAAAGAAATGTACGAAAGGTTGAGAAAATTCGTGTTAGAATTATTAATCTTACTTTTTCGGTCATATATATATATATATATATATATATATATATATATATATATATATATATATATATATATATATATATATATATATATATATATATATATATATATATATATATATGTCGTACCTAGTAGCCAGAACGCACTTCTCAGCCTACTATGCAAGGCCCGATTTGCCTAATAAGCCAAGTTTTTATGAATCAATGTTTTTTCGACTACCTAACCTACCTAACCTAACCTAACCTAACTTTTTCGGCTACCTAACCTAACCTAACCTATAAAGATAGGTTAGGTTAGGTTAGGTAGGGTTGGTTAGGTTTGGTCATATATCTACATTAATTTTAACTCCAATAAAAAAAATTGACCTCATACATAATGAAATGGGTAGCTTTATCATTTCACAAGAAAAAATTTTGAGAAAATATATTAATTTAGGAAAACTTGGCTTATTAGGCAAATCGGGCCTTGCATAGTAGGCCGAGAAGTGCATTCTGGCTACTAGGTACGACATATATATATATATATATATATATATATATATATATATATATATATATATATATATATATATATATATATATAGGGGGGGTACCACCACTGGTGCAATTATAGAGACCCACAACCTCAGAGAAGGGAACACAGAGCACTCAGGGAAAAACTTGACATTTAACTCTGAATACGAAAGAGTGTTCACTTCTCCTACCACCCCCTTTTTTTTTATTATGATGTACACTTTATTATGCAAGGTTATACAGTTACATATCTGATTTTATACAAAAAATGAACATTAAGAGGACACAAAAAAAAGTTCGCTTCCTAGAGGCTGTAGATTTCCTCGAACTCCTCCGACGCCGGGCAGGAACCGAGGATGCAGCGGGCATTTCCCCTCTGGATCGCGACACTGAGGCGCTGAAAGAGAAAACTTGCTGCTCTAGGGTCTCTTGTGGTGTCAATGAGCTTGGAACCAAGATCCTTAAGAAACCTTCTTGCACTCTCACCCCATGGGCCTAGGGTCTCAGACCCTATTGGAACGAAGTTGTACCTTTGATCTAATTGCCTGTACTTGACTGACTTTTGTTTTTCTCTGTGTGTCGCTGCGGCTCCTGCTGTGCCGGCAGAGAGGGTGATGTATGTCGTTGCCAGGGTGGATACGCAAGTATAGTCCCATATGCTAACTGCCTGCCACCCTTCCACGGACGCAGTGTGATTCCGTCTGGTCGGCCGGCAAAGCTAACAGAGTCACGGTTCAGTAGGTTGCGGGGCTCTCTCTCCGCTGGACTCTGAGCAGAGGCAAGGCATTTTTTATTGATGTCGTTGACTTCGTCGTGTCTAGTGTGCCAACCACCCGATTTTCCACAGTGCAGGCCATGCAATCCATATTCGTCAGCATCTGCCTCGCCGCAAATACACCTGTGAACAGTGTGGATAGGGGCAGCAAGGCGGAGAGCGACTGCAATACGGAGCTCCTGCGGATCAAGACGTGTGCCTGTCGCAGACATAGGGACTGCTAGAAGGAAGTCCCCTGCATGGGAGCCTGCACAGCTGTGAGGCGTGCACGATCACTGGGGGTTGTTGCTTCCTCCAGCAAAGCTGTGGCTTCTTTGTCTACAATGGGGCTGTCCCAGCTGGATTGTTTCTTGGCTTTCGGCATGGCTGGTCTGAGTGCTGGGTCTGCCATGGCACCCCATTTCGTGTCGCATTCCGTGTAGTGGGGGTCCTGTATCCCCGCTACATCACTCAGGGTGTCAGGTAGAATTTCCTTAACCAGGTCATCTGATGCTGAGGAGGAAGACAGGAAGGCTGGGACAGCAATTTGGGTGGCGGTGCGGACACCCAAGCCACCGAGCCTGACAGGAAGAGTGGCTTGTTTCCACTGGCATTCGTTGAGGGAGAGGTTAACAACTTTTTCCAGCATGGTCTTCAGTAGGAGGTCATACTCGTCAAGCTTTGGGTTGTTGTAAGATGGGGCGCACCTCAGAAAGTAGGTTAGCCTCGGAAGGGATAGGCATTTGGTGAGGAGATAAAAAGCATCGTGGGCATCGATGTCACCTATTCTGTCTTCCATCCTCCTAAGGTCTGCGATTTTCTTGTCGAGGATCTCCTCAATGGCGTTAGACCCGAGGGGGGCTCCAAGGAGGGTGCTGTTCTCGGCCCTAATGACATGGGCTCCAGGCAAGGCAGACCTTATTCTAGCTACGATGTCTGGGTTGGAGGAGACTACTTCACACTTGGAAGGGTTCAGGACGAGACCCAGGCTTACTTCTTGCTCCCTTATTTTCCTGATATCTGACAAGAGGTGGTCTACGGTGCCAGCTATAGTGCCATCATCCAAAAACCAGATGTTGAACTCGCTGGACAAGCTTTCGGTGATTTCTTTTAAGACTAAGCAGAAAAGAAGGGGAGCAAGAGGATCACCTTGCTGAACACCTTCACATGATCTGATTTCATGTTCACCAAAGAGCAGTTTTGACTCACCACTGTAGCAGGATAGTATGAACGGGTAGAGGGGCCGGTAGGGGATATATATATATATATATATATATATATATATATATATATATATATATATATATATATATATATATATATATATATTTACAAAATAATTGTATTTAAAGTTATATTTGCATCTATAGGAAAGACAAGGTACACGACGGATGATAATTCTTTTATTTTTATTTTATTTTAAAGAGTAAAGAATGCGGGGGCTTCTTGTGTTCATTTAATACGTCGCATTTTGTACGTAATCAACGAGTCCGTTAATAATGCGATGCACTAGTACATATAAAGCCCAGTAATACTGAAGTTTTCAACCCATCGCCCCACTTGACAACTTAGGAGGGTTGTATGGGTTCGTACGTTTGTGGTTAGACACAATAGCTACATCATGTGCGACCATCCTAAGTGCAGGCGATGAGTCACAATAACGTGGCTAAAGTATGTTGACCAGACCACACTCTAGAAGGTGAAGGGACGACGACGTTTCTTTCCGTCCTGGACCATTCTCAAGTCGATTGTGATGAGTCACAATCGACTTGAGAATGGTCCAGGTCGGACCGAAACGTCCTCGTCCCTTCACCTTCTAGTGTGTGGTCTGGTCAACATACCATCCTAAGTGTTCGAGGGACAAGAACTTCCAGCTCAACATGTCACAAGTCTCAGGAACCTGTACACCAGTTCACTGACAATTGAGAGGCGGACCCAAAGAGCCGAAGCTCAACCCCCGCAAGCACAACTAGGTGAGTACAATGGATGTCAGACAACATGGGGTGTACCACCCATTGGGGGTAATACACCCATGGACGCCCCACTTACCTACACATTTCTGCAATTACAAATTTCATTGGAAATAATCGTCAGTGACCTGCCGTCACATGCCTCTTACCCTCGTCGATGCCACTGGAGAGCGACCCACAGGTAAATTCAGGTAAATAATTTGGTTTGACCTCGCTTTTGTACGAGGTCAAACCGACACCTAAAAACAACACAACTCATGGATGAAAAGTCCTTCACTAACGTGACCAGAAATGAACATCTTCGCCTGTGAGGATGGTGTTTACCTGAATTTACCTGAGGGTCATCTCTAGTGGTCTCGCCAGGGTCAGAAAAACTCTTGCCTGTCAGAGGTCCTCCGGTGTTCTTGTGGGAACTAAACAATTGGCTGCCTCAGTCTGCTGAGTGGCTGCCTCAGTCTCCTGAGTGGCTGCCTCAGTCTCCTGAGTGGCTGCCTCAGTCTCCTGAGTGGCTGCCTCAGTCTGCTGAGTGGCTGCCTCAGTCTCCTGAGTGGCTGCCTCAGTCTCCTCAGTGGCTGCCTCAGTCTCCTGAGTGGCTGCCTCAGTCTGCTGAGTGGCTGCCTCAGTCTCCTGAGTGGCTGCCTCAGTCTCCTGAGTGGCTGCCTCAGTCTCCTGAGTGGCTGCCTCAGTCTCCTGAGTGGCTGCCTCAGTCTCCTGAGTGGCTGCCTCAGTCTCCTGAGTGGCTGCCTCAGTCTCCTGAGTGGCTGCCTCAGTCTCCTGAGTGGCTGCCTCAGTCTCCTGAGTGGCTGCCTCAGTCTCCTGAGTGGCTGCCTCAGTCTCCTCAGTGGCTGCCTCAGTCTCCTCAGTGGCTGCCTCAGTCTCCTCAGTGGCTGCCTCAGTCTCCTGGGTGGCTGCTTCAGTCTCCTCGGTGGCTGCCTCAGTCTCCTGAGTGGCTGTCTCAGTCTCCTGAGTGGCTGCATCAGTCTCCCCAGTGGCTGCCTCAGTCTCCCCAGTGGCTGCCTCAGTCTCCTGAGTGGCTGCCTCAGTCTCCTGAGTGGCTGCCTCAGTCTCCTGGGTGGCTGCTTCAGTCTCCTCGGTGGCTGCCTCAGTCTCCTGAGTGGCTGTCTCAGTCTCCTGAGTGGCTGCCTCAGTCTCCTGAGTGGCTGCCTCAGTCTCTTCAGTGGCTGCCTCAGTCTCCTGAGTGGCTGCCTCAGTCTCCTGAGTGGCTGCCTCAGTCTCCTGAGTGGCTGCCTCAGTCTCCTGAGTGGCTGCCTCAGTCTCCTGAGTGGCTGCCTCAGTCTCCTGAGTGGCTGCCTCAGTCTCCTGAGTGGCTGCCTCAGTCTCCTGAGTGGCTGCCTCAGTCTCCTGAGTGGCTGCCTCAGTCTCCTGAGTGGCTGCCTCAGTCTCCTGAGTGGCTGCCTCAGTCTCCTGAGTGGCTGCCTCAGTCTCCTGAGTGGCTGCCTCAGTCTCCTGAGTGGCTGCCTCAGTCTCCTGAGTGGCTGCCTCAGTCTCCTGAGTGGCTGCCTCAGTCTCCTGAGTGGCTGCCTCAGTCTCCTGAGTGGCTGCCTCAGTCTCCTGAGTGGCTGCCTCAGTCTCCTGAGTGACTGCTTCAGCCTCCTGAGTGGCAGCAAACCTATCCTTGCCTAGTTAAGCCTACTGAACCTTGGGCCAGATTCACGAAGCAGTTACGCAGGCACTTACGACTTTTTTCTCAATCTTTGGCGGCTTTGTTTACAATTATTAAACAGTTAATGAGCTCCGAAGCACCAGGAGGCTGTTTATAACAATAACAACAGTTGATTGGGAAGTTTTCACGCTAGTAAACTGTTTAATAAATGTAACCAAAGCCGTCAAAGATTGAAGAAAGATGTACACGTTCGTAAGTACTTGCATAACTGCTTCGTGAATCAGGCCCCTTGTATATTCTAGCCAAGCTTATCCTTGCCAAGTGTTGTCTAGTATAGCTTAGCCGTCTCCTGTCTCATGGCGTAATTGTCTATATCAATAATTTCTCAACTTTTCCAAGAGGTTTCATCTGCTTTCCCCAGGAGTTTCAACAACATTAAATAGGTACTTTGGAGTTAATCAACTGTTGTGGAATGCCTGCCGACGGTCAGTCGTTGGCCTAGGGCGGGGGAACTACATCTGATGCCTCTGTTCACCTAGGCTTGAAATTATGTCTATTTTGGTCGTTGGCTTTCCAGACTGGAAGAGTTGTATTCTCGTCTTGTTCGGAAGGTGGGACTTTGGAGTTGAATCCTGTCTCTTCAAGAACACTTAGGTGAGTACACACTCACGGTCAACACTCCCCGCAAATACACAACCCACACACACAACACACGCGCGTGCACACAACACACACACACACACAGCTCATTCGCTAACAGCTCCTTCTGCTGTTAACGGCTCCAGCCTCCGGCAGGAACTCACCGAGGCCAAACTCAGTTTTTACTTGGATCACACATGAGTGAGTGTGTGTACTCACCTAGTTGCATTCACTTAGATGTGCTTGCTTCTTGAAACCTCAATTAGTCCTCCTGTCTTAATCCATCTCATAACTTTGGCGTCGTCAGCAAACATTGAGAGGAATGAGTCCAAACCCTCTGGAAGATCATTCACGTATATCAGAAACAGGATAGGTCCAAGTACAGAGCCCTGTGGGACTCTACTGGTGACTTCACACCAATCTGAGGTCTCACCCCTCACTGTAACTCTCTGCTTCCTATTGCGTAGGTATTCCCTTATCCACTGGAGCACCTTACGAGTTATTTCTGCCCGTTTCTCCAATTTATGCACAAGCTTCTTATGGGGTACTGTGCAAAGGATTTCCGACAGTCCAGGAAAATGCAGTCCGCCCAACCTTTCCTTTCTTGCTTAATCTTTGTCACCTGATCGTAGAATTCTATTAAACCTGTGAGGCAAGATTTACCCTCCCTGAACCCATGTTGGTGGTTTGTCACAAAGTCCCTTCTCTCTAGATCTGTTACTATGTTTTTTCTCACGATCTTCTCCATCACCTTGCATGGTATACAAGTCAAGGACACTGGCCTGTAGTTCAGTGCCTCATGTCTGTCACCCTTTTTGTATACTGTGACTATATTAGCCGTCTTCCTTATCTCTGGTAGGTCTCCCATCTCCAGTGACCTACTATACACTATGGAGAGTGGCAAGGAAAGTGCCTCTGCACACTCTTTCAATGCCCATGGTGAGATTCAAGCCGGACCAACAGCCCTTCTTACATCCAGATCCAACAAATGCCTCTTAATCTCACCTCTGGTAATTTCGAACCCTTCCAAGGCCGCCTGGTTTACTGTCACCTCTCCAAGGGCAAGGACTTCACCTCGTTCCTTTGTAAAGACCTATTGGAATCTTTTGTCGAGTTCTTCACACAACTCTTTGTCATTCTCTGTGTATCTGTTCTCACCCGTTTTAGGTTTCATCACCTGTTCTTTCACCATTTTTCTCCTGATGTAACTGTGAAGTACCTTTGGTTCGGTCTTAGCTTTATTTGCTATATCATTTTCACTTTATCTCTGTTTCTCGCCTCACAGTAACATACTTATTCCTGGTTCTCTGGTATCTCTCTCTCTCTGCTTTCTGGTGTTCTGTTATTTCAGAAGTTCCTTCACGCCCTTTGGTTCAGTTCCTTTGCTTCCATACATGCCCTATTAAACCACGGATGTGTGTGTGTGCGTGTATTCACCTAGTTGTGCTGTCTTCTGTTACTTAGGTACTCCCTTATCCAATGGATTACCTTCCCTGTCACTCCTGCCTGCAACTCCAGCTTTTGCCCTAGTCTTTTGTGTGGTACTGTGTCAAAGGCTTTTCGGCAATCCAAAAATATGTAGTCTGCCCCACCCTTCCCTTTCTTGTCTAATTTTTGTTGCCTGATCGTAGAATTCAATTAATCCTGTGAGGCATGACTTGCCATCCCTGAACTCATGTTGATGTTGTGTTACAAAGTTCCTTCTGTCTAGATGTTCCACTAGCTTTTTCCGTACAATCTTCTCCATCAGCTTGCATGGTATGCAGGTTAGGGACATTGGCCTGTAGTTCAGTGCCTCCTGTCTATCTCCTTTCTTGTATATCGGGACGACGTTTGCCGTCTTCCAAATGTTTGGACGTTCACCTGTGTGCGTGTGTGTGTGTGTGTGTGTGTGTGTGTGTGTGTGTGTGTGTGTGTGTGTGTGTGTGTGTGTGTGTGTGTGTGTGTGTGTGTGTTCACCTAGTTGTGCTTGCAGGGGTTGAGCTCAACTCTTTCGGCCCTCCAGGAAGCAGCCCGTAACAGCTGTCTAACTCCCAGGTACCCATTTACTGCTAGGTAAGAGGGGGCATGAGGGTGAAAGAAACAGCCTATTTTGTTCCTGCCATCAGCCGGGATCGAACCCGGACCCTAGAACTACGAATCCAGAGCGCTGTTCACTCAGCCGTCAGGCCCCCTTCGTCAGGTGTGTGTGTGTGTGTGTGTGTTGTTAGTGTTCATCTCTATATATTTTTATGTAGATGTACAGCTACATTTCTCTCTCTCTCTCTCTCTCTCTCTCTCTCTCTCTCTCTCTCTCTCTCTCTCCCTCCCTCCCTCCAGCCCGTTCCATCGCCCCCCCCCTTACCACAACAACAGATTCAGACCCCACCACCTTAATCCCCTATTTTTTTTTATTAAATCCTTCAACCACCATGCATCCTCCCCTCCCTCCCTCCGTCTCTCACGCACTCCCTCTCCCCCCTTCACAATCACCCTCCCCCCTCTCCCCTTCTCTCTCCCTCTCTCTCCTCTTACCCGGTGCCTCCCTTTCCAGAATCTCCCTTACTATCGATCCCAGAGGTTCGACACCATAAGGTCCAGAGTCATTTGTTTCAATTAGATAGTTCGCCCTTCGCTCCCCCTTTGCCTAGGTCAATTGTGTTTTTTTCAGACATCCAAAGTCACCAGCCAATGAGTAGAGAGGAGCGGCCAGTTAGGTTTTGGTGGGGGGATGGGAGGACTGGTAGGTGGGTAGGTGGGTAGGTGGGTAGGTGGAGTGATGGGTCGAGTGATGAGTGGGTGGATGACAGACGGGTGAGTTAATGATGAATCGTTTATTGATTTACATATGATCAGATGCTAGCAGTGGTAGTGATTGGTGTGGGTGTGGGAGTGTAGTGTGGGTGTGTGGTGTGGGTGTGTAGTGTGGGTGTGTGGTGTGGGTGTGTGGTGTGGGTGTGTAGTGTGGGTGTGTGGTGTGGGTGTGTAGTGTGGGTGTGTTGTGTGTAGTGTGGGTGTGTGGTGTGGGTGTGGGTGTGTGGTGTGGGTGTGTGGTGTGGGTGTGGGGTGTAGCCACCTAGCTGTGCTTGCTGCGAGGGGTTGACCTCTGGCTCTTTGGGCCCGCCTCTTAACTGTCAATCAACGGATATTTTTTGTTCACACACACACGGATGTAATTTCAAGTGTAGATATGATAGAGCCCAGTAGGGTCGGGAACCTGTACACCAGTTGATTGACGGTTGAGAGGCGGGACCAAAGAGCCAGAGCTCAACCCCCGCAAACACAACTAGTTGAGTATAACTAGATGAATACACACACACACAGGAAGCAGCCCGTAGCAGCTGTCTAACTCCCAGGTACCTATTTACTGCTAGGTAACAGGCGCATCAGGGTGAAAGAAAATTTGCCCATTGTTCCTCGCCGGCGCCAGGAATCGAACACGGGTCAATGGATTACGAGCCCCGCGCGCTGTCCACTCAGCTACCAGCGCCCTGTGTGTGTGTGTGTGTGTGGTGTGTGTGTGTGTGTGTGTGTGTGTGTGTGTGTGTGTGTGTGTGTGTGTGTGTGTGTGTGTGTGTGTGTGTGGTGTGTGTGTGGTGTGTGTGAGGAAACAATGAACACGCACACAAACCTCCCCACTCTCTCTCAGTAACCACACACTCATAATCACCACCAGGTAACCACACACTGATAATCACCACCAGGTAACCACACACACACTGATAATCACCACCAGGTAACCACACACACTGATAATCACCACCAGGTAACCACACACACACTGATAATCACCACCAGGTAACCACACACACACTGATAATCACCACCAGGTAACCACACACACTGATAATCACCAACAGGTAACCACACACACACTGATAATCACCAACAGGTAACCACACACACTGATAATACAGGTAACCACACACACACTGATAATCACCAACAGGTAACCACACACACTGATAATCACCAACAGGTAACCACACACACACTGATAATCACCACCAGGTAACCACACACACACTGATAATCACCAACAGGTAACCACACACACACTGATAATCACCACCAGGTAACCACACACACTGATAATCACCACCAGGTAACCACACACACTGATAATCATCAACAGGTAAC